CAGGTTCCTGATGTGGTTTGAAACTGGACAGAATACAGTAAAAGATAGCAGGGTCTTCATGTTTATCACAAAGGGTATAATGGATGTTTTTTTTTACAGTGTACAGATCTTACAGACATCCTGAGCTCTGTCGGTGATTTGCACTCTGATGCTGGTTGGATTGGCGACAATAAGGGAGGAACACATGAAGACCAAAAAGAGGATAAATAAAGAGAATATTATCAGCAGGTTATCACTTACTATTTCAATGTGTTTTTAGTCTCCTAAAAATTGTCAACAAAAACACAATGTAGATTTAGATTTTTGTTTTCTTTTAATCAAATATAGAAATTACATTACACATTATATGACATGTGGCTGTGATTGAATCTGACTGATCTCTGCTGCCATCTGGTGTTTGAGCAGCAGATTACACTCAGGGAGAATGGAGGAGTGGAGCAGCTGATTGAAGTTGTGATTTTATGAATTAGTGAATAAATCTGTGGATTATATTACCATAACCATGTTCAATATAGTTTATTTAAAATCCTTACACACTACTATTATATATTCTCAAAGTGTCAACCTGAAGACACACACTGATGAAATCTGTGCACGTGGCAGAAAGTCTGATAGTGAACTGAATCTGAATAAAGAAATGATCACAGAACATTTTGATTAGTGTTTAATTATTCAGTAATAGTGAACAGCAGCCAAATGAATTTAAACAGCTAACATCATTTCCACTCAGGGTGTTTCCAGGCTCAGTCAGGTAACTGGAACTCTGACAGCTCTGGTCATGGTCAAACACGTTTTAAACTAAATATATTTACACTTTCCTGACAAACTTTAAACAAATGTAAAGATTAGAAACTTGATTCAGACTGTCTGTCAGAGTGCTTGAACTCCATCATACTTGCATGCACAGTGACTATAAGTGCATTCACACTCAATAGCAACAAGAGCTAGACATCACCAAAAAAATCTAGGCCAAAAACACACTGTCTTAATATATATTATATTTAGAGCAAACAGCTATTCTCTATAATAAAGATACAGAGTCACATGGTGGTCCTCTCTCTCTGGCCTGGTGTTGTATCGCAGCTCTTCTGTGGTTTGTTTCCATAGCCGGTTCTGCTTCCGACTGAAACTGCTGTTTTTATCATCTACGTCCGGTGAAATTAAGGATTTATTTTTCCACCCAAGACCAAGTTGGTTGATTGTTGGAAACACTAACAGAGACGCTTAATGAAGTTTATTTCTGTTTCTGTCCACTTTAATAAGTTACGATGAATCTGAAAGGTAAAATGAGTGTCTTTTGTCTCTGGAGTTCCTGGTGGAGAGTGGATAGTGATATTATGGCTGTTTGTGGTTAACTTATGGTCCTATCTCTGTAGGGATCCCCTTTCCATAATGCCTGTCAGACACTGACAATAAACAACCTGAGTCTTCAGTGCAGAAACAACTACCTTGTCTAGTGGACCGCACTTTAATGAAGCAACATATTGTACCGCTAAGGATTAACATTAGCTTATGTTGCCGGTCATTGGGAGTACTTCTCCAATATTTTTGGCATTTAACTATGTGGAATTGAGGAATTTATCTTCCAACCAAAACCTAGAGTTGGTTTGATGGTTGGAAAGATAACAACAGACAGTTGTTTATCCTGCGTTAAGTTACCTGACAGGCCACCAACATCACAATCCTGCCTTTGACGTGAAGGCACGTTGNNNAATGTCTTGCCAACTGAAGGTGAAGGATCTTCACACATTTTTCATTATTCATTATTATTTTGTCATTATCTTACTTTGTGTCTAAAGACTGTATCTTCAACTTCATCAGCCACAACCCGATACGCGTTGGTCTCACAATAAAGATATTCTTTATTATACTTTACTTACTTACTTTTATACTCCTTTATTTTTATTTTTCCTGAATTATTTGACTTTTTTCAATAAATCTTTCATCATGATAAATCATGGCCACACCTGTTCTAGATAATGCTCATGATTCCACCAGAAGTGTTTCTCTGCTCTGTTTTGTGGGGAATATGTGGCTGGTCTATTATTGACAAAAGCAGCACAGAGTAGATCACAATAGTAAGAAGTCATACACAGAAATGGCATAGAGAATCTGGTCAGTTTTTTAAATAAAACACCTAGTGCGGATACCGGATCGAATTTCACGCTACACCAACATTGTGGAGAAGCACAATGTTGTGCATCCTTTTAACAACGTTCCACTTCTCGATAATGGAGTCAAGTGTCTTTAACAAATTTAAAGAAATGGCAATTAATTACATATTCTGAATTCATGTTGGATTTTCTTCAACTTCAACATTTTTCTTTTGAATGTGATGATTTTCTATTCTCCCCTCTTTTTCAACCGTTTTGGCTGCTTCTCTTAATTCTTTTTCTTCTTAGTTTTCTTCCTCTTATCTTTTGGCTTTGCATTGAAATATACGGTGAAATGATCTGATATTCCATCATTTTGGACAACGAGATCAGAGATTTCAACATTTCTGGTGAGGACCAGATCCAGAGTGTGACCTGCCCGGTGTGTTGGCTCCTGCACATGCTGCTCAAGGTTGTAGATCGGCCAAATATGATAAAACTCATCAGTGAAAGACCTCCTTTCCTGATCGACCCAGATATTGAAATCTCCGGTCACAATGATGCTGTTGTAGTTGCTGAAAAAAGCCAAGAGCATTTCAAACTCATCCAGAAATGTACGGAACTGGTCCCTGTTGTACCCCGGTGGGTGATACACATTGATGATGGGGACCGGCTGGTTCCACTCATCATGATGCAGAACTGTGACAACACATTCAAAGGTTGTTATGGAGTCAAAAGGAATGTTTTCACCCTGCAGCTCCTGTGAGAACTGATTCGCTACCCCTCCTCCCCTTTGACCAACCCTCAACTGATAATGATAAGTATAATTCTGTGGTGAAGCCTCCCTGAGGACTGTGTCTGCATTGTTGTCTCGTAACCACGTCTCTGTTGTGAGAAAGACGTCCAGGTTGTTTTGAGTTATGAGCTCTAAGATCCTGGATCGTCTGTTATTCATTGAGCGAACATTAAGTAACCCCACTTTTATTGTTCCAGGAGGTGTCTGGTTGATGACATCTTTCTGATAAATGAAACCTAACCAAATAGACAGAAGAAGTACGAGAAAGCACAATATTAGCCAGGTGTGCCGAGTGCTTTTCTCTCTGGAAAGCTTTTTAGCCTTCTCCTCTTCTTCTTGTCGTCTTTTGTCCATCTCTTCTAACTCCTTTCTGTGAATAAAACAAGTGAACAGACAGTTAGCATAAATCAACATCAGTGGTTGCAAGCAAACAGATTTCACCCTGAAGTGATGTTCATGTAAATGTTGGGAAGTAATGACCTGTATCAAAATTAGAGATAAAAAGGTTTGAACCCGTCAGTTTGCGAGTCACAGGTCGGGCTATATATGTATTGTTCGG